CGAACCCGAGGACAAGGTTGCGGGTGACGACGTGTTATCTTTCTTTGCACGAGGCAAGATATACCATATCACTATCCCTGAGCTTTGCGAGATCTACGGTTTTGAGGACTCTTACGCTGCGCGTGGTGTCATACCCCTTTTCCCCAAGATGCACGAGTTCTGGGAACTCATTGGTACATGCGATCTGCACAACAACAAGTCCACCATGACGGATATTCGTCATCTGACTCTGCGCTACTTCTTGCGGGCCATTGCTAACACTTTGTTGTGCAAGATGGAGCCCAAAAAGGTACGGATGCAGGATCTTACACTCATTTTCTGTGCTTTGGATGTGGTTTGGTTGACCTGCGCAGATATGATGAGGAGAGTAGCGTCATTACACCTAACCTCAGAGCCATTTTTTCTAAGCATCTGGTAGGGCTGAAGATAAAACCGTTCACAGGTAGGAACGTCAAGACATAGACGATTGGGAGCCTCCTTACTCCCATCTTCCAGTGCCTCGGCATCCGCCTAGACGAGCGTGATGTCAACCGCTCTCGCGTCTTCATGGACGTGGAGCATCTGTTGAGCTCGGGTTGGCTCAAGGAGGACCAAATCTGGTGTTTTAGGATAGATAACCGGATGCGTCTGCTCCCACTGCCCAACCAGGAGGTCACCGACTTTGAAGAGGACGATCCCGAGTGTCTCTGCTTTGAACCAGATGAGCGCCTGTTGCGCGATCTTGATTAGGCACCCCGCCAAGTTCCAGGTCCCCGTCGAGCTCGAGCAGCACATGAGCCCCTATTTCCCAATTTCCCAGCTATACCCAACGTCCCGATGCAGCAGAGAGACTTTCAGCGCATTGTGGTTGATGCACTCAGAGCCATCTGGGCTAGACTGACCACACCTCCATGCAGGAGAAAATGGAGTATTAGAGCGAGTTCGCCATCAGCTGCAGGACCCTCACGACAGCGCAGAGACACACAGACCATAGACGACGATGAGACTGATGACGACACCGGCTAGTCCTCACATTTCTATCCCTTTTTTCATGGACTATTTTTCTTTTATTTTTCATGCATGTTTTCAGATTATTAGGACCTATGTTTTAGACTTATTATGCTTATGTTTTCAGACTATTTTCTTATTTTTTATTTGTGTTTGGCATGCCTAACAGATCTAACAGACCTTACCAATGAGATGGTTTAGACCATTTCCAACCCAATGAGTCGACTCTGGCCATTTTCCCATCGATCTATTTTGGTTGCACCTGATCGGTCGATATCATATTCATTTCATCGTTCGACAACATCACTGTCGATCGGTCGATTCCATATTAAGGGAGGTCAGAACGCTAATTTTCTTTTTTCTTAAACTTTATTTTATTTTTCCAAACCAATCTTAGGCTTGTTACACTTGGACAGTGTAATTCAAGTCTGGGGGAGGTAGCTACAAAAATCTTATTTTTTTGTTCTTTGGATTTATTTTTAAAAAAGTTTTAAAAAGGGATTATGATCATTTTGAAAAGTTCTTACTTATTATCTAACCATGCATCAGCACCACTCTTAGATTTGTTGACAACAGATTATACTAGAGATACTAAAGTGGATCACCTGACCATTAGATCACAGTTGCTTAGAAAGTTTGAAGGAACCGAAGCTAACCTCCAACCATACTCTGACTAGTTTGCTTGCTTTGGGGTTTGGTATACATTGTATTGGATTCCTCCTTCAAGCCTGAAAGGTATGAGTCTGTAAATTTTTGGTTTCTTTCTTTCTTCTCTTCGGCATCTAAAAAAAGAAAAAAAAAAAGAGAGAAAGATTGAGATGATTTCCTGATATGCAGAGGGGAATCAATAAGGTGAACAAGATGGAAGTCATTAGTACCTGTCTTAGTTCACTGGCATTGAATTTAAAAAGATTCAGAGAAGAGGGACATAGGGAGAAAAGAAACTAGAATATGACTACCTGTTTACTCAGATATCGGATGGAGTAAGAGTCCAAGCATCTTATGATCGATATCCCCAAGGTAAATCCTACACTTTATTTTTCTGCAAGAAATGAGGTTAGTAGAAGGGTGAGTCAAGCTAGTATTTTCTAAGTTGCTGGTAGAATGTTTTGGTTGATAAACTAGGATAATGTATATAAAGTATCTCTGGAGTTAACACCCGTTCGATGTGGTTGTAGTATTGTAGTGATGGTGACTATAAGTTTGAGAATTTTGTGAATCCCTGCTATTTTCTAGAAACCTCTTTTCAAAAAATCAACCATTTGTTTTGCTTGAGGACAAGAAAAAAGATAAGTCTGGGGTGTTGATAGGTCATGGATTTTACCAATTTTTAACCATGACCTAGATATGATTTTCATGTATTTCATGAGTATTTGGAGCCTTTTTAGAGTAATTTACGGGTTTAGGAAATTATGAAGAAAATGAATGTTTTTGGAACATTTTGGAGACTTTGAAGAACATTCCTGCCGGAATGCAAAATCGACCGACGTTGCAAGATGAAAGACGATCGATGGTTACCCATTATGAACGATCGACGTAACACTGTCAACATCGATCGATTCATTTACCACCAGTAAATTTACAACAAAATTAGAAGACTTCAAGTTTCACAAAAGTTATGATAATTGCAGTATTAGTCTCTAGCCGCCTGTAGGCTACATTTTTAGGGTTTTGTATTGTTTTAAAAAGAGATATTTGCTTAGAGTTTAGAGATACCTAGTTTTTGGGAGAGCTACTTGTTTACTATTGAAGGAAGGAAGTCCTAGGAGATTGGAGAGAGGGGGTATGAGACTACAAAATAGAGATGATCTTGAAATCCTTTTTTTCTTTACTATTATTTTACTTTGCTTCTTGTTTACACAATGAGTTTTATTCATACCATCATAATATTTTCTTTTATGAATATGTCTGAGTAATCTCACTTATTAGATTTAGGTTTGTCATTTGGTTGATTTATGTGTTGATTTATGACTGCTGTTTAAGAGTTTTACATTTGTTCTTCAAGCCTAGTTAAGCTTAACACTAGATTTAGGATTGATCACCCTCAAATCTTAACCCTAGGATTTAATTGAGTCAAATAATCATTTCTCATTGCCTGAACCCTAATTAGTTTGATCTAACTCAACAGATTCATACGACAGTTGGTCTAAAGAGTTAGAGAATATTAATAACTTGTTCTTAAAGCTTTCTTGAAGAGTTATCGATCGTCGCGAGCATCTTCACATCGATCGATTACTTGAAAAGTGTATCAATCGATTGTCCACGAAGATAATCGATCGACTATAGAAAACTTCTTCGCATTGAAAAGTGTATCAATGAGATCCGATATCTCGACAAGGAAACCTGTTTGGTTTCGTCATTTATGTTTTAATTCATGAACAATTTAAAACCTTAAAGTCGGAAACCATTTGCATACTGATACCTAAGATAATACCTACGTTTAACTACTTTCCTAACTGAAATCTACTTCCAATCCAAGTTACTGAATAATCATCTGCTTGCTTTATTTTAATTATTGTTTTAAACCGTTTAAACCCATCTTTAGTCTAGCTATATTTTGATACTTAAATCTTTTGAGTAATCCCTCTGTCCTTGTGGATTCGATCCCTAAGTGCTACACTGAACCTCTTATTTGAGAGAGTAATTCACTCCTTACGATAATTTGAGTGATATCAGCTACCGGGAATCGTACAAAAAAAACAATAGCCTCAGAAAGTTATTTAACACTAGATTAGTTAACTAAGAAACTTCTTTACCATCGTATAGGAATGAATTTTCTTCTACTTTATGAGAAGGTTAACATTTTATTTATTAAAAAAACTTATATAACTTCATTATCAAAAATAATTTGTTTATTATGTACGAAAATACTATTTAAGGTTATGCGCATTATTATCTTATTGAAAAGATGGGAGATGGGTTATGTGCATGTGTGGCGAAACCATTACCTCAAGCACCGTCTGAAAAAATTCTTTTTGAAGATATGAAGATTTTTCTCAACTGAAAGATTCCATAGGATTTATATGGTAATATTCATAATTTTATATCAATTTTTTTTTTTATCAATTTGGTTGCCGAACATTGTATATTTCTATCAATTGATTGGGTATTTGTAATGATTTTTTCTTGAAATAACATTATTGTATACCACAATTTTGTTACAGATGTAATAAGATATATAAATAATATGAAGAAAATAGATGTTTGTAATCAGACAGCACATATCCTCTGAAAAGTTATTCTAATGTAATTGTTAGGAAGATATACCTTTTAGATCCAATTATATTAATGAGTTGGTAAGTATAAAATAAATCTCACACAATTTATGCAAAAAATAATTCTAAAGCTATAATAAAATTATTTAATATTTTTATCTTCTTTATTAAATTAAAAATTAAACAAAACCCGTTGTAACGCACGAGACTTATCTAGTAATTACATAAATAGAAGTTTTCTATTTATGTGTTCCAAGAAATAAAAAATTTTATGTTAAATGATAGAAATATATAAACTATGTATAATTTTTATGTGTAGCTAATATATTTTTGAGAAACAATCCCACACTTTTTAAAGTGCGGGTCAAAAATCTAATACCAGTTTATAGTTGGTTTCGGTTTTGATATTTTGTTGTTTTTTGGATTTGTGGAAAGTAAAACCAAATAATCATTTGTAATTGTATTTAGCTAGATGCATTGTTCTTAAATTAATGTTTATTTGGTTCAGTTACATTTCTATAAGAACCAATTAACATATCTCTTGATTCGGTTTCGATTTGAACAGTTTGTTTTGGTTCGATTAAATCTTTTTTATTCTTTCCAGTATGCTTACTAAACTTCTTATTAGCCAGAAAATGAAAATACCAACCATACACTTTCTTTATTATTTTAAACCAGTTAAATCATAAGCTATTTTTAACTGATTAAGAAGAAGCTGTTACATTCTCGCTTAATAATCTTCTCTCTTAATCCAATTCTACATACTTTTAGCATTCATATCGTGAGGGCGTAACCTCATTACATGGTAAACGGGACCAGAATCTCATTAACTCTAGCTGTGGTCTGGAACGGCGGGCTGTAACCGGCTACTAAATACTCGGGCGACTTTCCTTTGCTCTGCTCGATGTGCACTTTCCATTTAGTATTCTTGAGGCTGTCCATCAGAGCTGCAGCTTCTTTCTTGGCTATATCATCCGTCACATACCCACTGAACTGCCTCATGGCTACGTAGGTAGGTTTCCATGTCTGCACGTGGAGGTCATCGGCCAAAGGTGGGTTTTGTTGGTTCTTCTTTGGGAGGTAGAAAGAGACAGTGTAGACTGATTTACCGGGTGGTTTTTGTGTGATAACCGGAGCTGTCATGTTCATCTTTGTCTTGCTCTTGTTATCTCCTTGTATGTAACGAAATAGTCTGTACTCTCACCCCACCGATAAGAAATAAAATCAGTTTCGATTCAAGATAATTAAATAGGATACTGACATCACGTGCATTACTTTAACGAAACGTAGAAACCGCAAGAAAATGAAATCTTATTTTTGTTACTGTTTTCATCTATACAGAAAACGGAATAAAACTATTTAAAAGTCAACATTCTATTTCAATCAAAGTTCTAGTTACTGCACCTTTATATTTAAATATATCCCACATATATAAATAGTATTTATATTTATTTTGGATTTATTACTTAATTACTTAATGACGACAAATTTTTTTACTAAATTCTATTTCCTTTGCAAGATATTTAACGTACATATTCCGTATAAAACTTTACAGGTAAATGCTTATACGGTAGTTCACAGTCCAGTTATAGGATACTTTTAAATAACAAAAATTAGATTGAAACCCTTTTTCAAAAAAAAAAAAACAAAGATTAGATTGAAAATTATAAATAACCGTTGGAAACCGGTTTTGGAGGCTTCAGTCATGGATGGGGCAGTGATAGGCCCAGTGGACATCCAGACCGCAGATTTATACACACGAATCTCGTAGCCATTTCTGGATTCTGCCATTTCATAGGTTGGACACTCGTAGTGGTCACATGTTTCTGGACGCATCCCCATAGATAGGGATACAACCACGATTAGGCTGAGGCAAAAGGACAGCTGCAAGATGGTTAAGCCTGTTTTCATGGTTTCAATAGTCTTAGAATGAATAAATCTTTTTTTTCTTTAGATACTATTTGACATGTCTTATGTAATAAAGTATTTATACTGCTTTTGTGGAATTAAAATGCTCGATTTGTTGCCAAGTTTAAGATATTTGCATAAATGAAACAGATTCGTTAAACAACTATGGATATGATTTAGAAGAAAATGTATCCTATATTGATCAAAAAATTATGATTTACTAACTGAAAGAATATCTTTCATCATTATACAATATATATCGTATTTATTTCTGTTTATTTCTTTCCCCTTCAATCTTATTTCTTATATATTTTTAATAATATAATCAATCATTTTTAAAATGCAACTGAAAATTTATAATATTCTTATACCTATAACATAACTTGATTTTTAAAAATTAATAAAAACTGCAAAAAGTATTGATAAATAATTAAAAAAAAATCGTCATATGATAAAGAACATACTGTACTTCTATTATAAATGTTTTATTTCTTCAGCAACCATATTTTTTTTTTTTATAAATCTTATCTTAAGTATATACTATTCTTTGTCAGTTCTATATTAATTCAGAAATATATGCAACTCTTTATCGAATGTATGTGTAACCATATATAGATTTAAGGGGGATTTGCCAAATATGATTCAAAATTTTACTTTAAATGCAAAGTGTATACCACTTCAAATTAAATGCAAAAGTAACTCAAAAGTCTAGTGAAATTACAAACATCCCTTCATGACCAAACAAAAAAACAGAATTGTAGTCTTCTCATGAGCAAATTTACCTGAAAGTCTTCTCAAGATGTAGATATAAAAAATAATTTATAAATTTCATAAAAAGTATTTTGATATGGGTAAAATTATACTCATCTAATTATAAGCATTTGTAAATGATATAAACTTAGATTTAATAAATTTTTTTTTTTCAAAATAGATCAATGAATGTAAGTTAGTCATGATATTCTTTGGTTTAAGGTATGGTAACTATATTGTAGTATTGTATATGTTTTAGGGTTAGATTAGGGAATCTTAATATTTATTTTTTAAAGTAATTTTTAGCTATATGTGTTAAGTTTTGTGTAGATAAAACACTTTATAAGTTTAATTTAGGTTTAATAAAGTTTTTGTATGTCATTTATTCATATATATATATATATATATATATATATATTTGATTTCCGGGTTTTGGAAGACTTAATTTTTCGAAGATATAATGCACAAGAAGACTTATTGGACGACTTAACAACATTTTCCCGCTTAAATGTTAAGATAATTTAGGTTTTCCGCCTAAAATTAAGTCTTCCAATAAATCTTCCTTAACTCCACTGAAAGTCTTATAGTGTATTAGTTCTTAAAATAATTTATAAATTTCATGAAAATTATTTTGATAGGGGAAAAATCATAATCATCTAATTATAGACCTTTGTAAATGATATAAATTTAGATTTAATAAAATTGAATTGTTTTCGACATAAATGAGTGAACATAAGTTTGTTTTGATCTTTTTTGGTTTAGGGTTTNTCCACTGAAAGTCTTATAGTGTATTAGTTCTTAAAATAATTTATAAATTTCATGAAAATTATTTTGATAGGGGAAAAATCATAATCATCTAATTATAGACCTTTGTAAATGATATAAATTTAGATTTAATAAAATTGAATTGTTTTCGACATAAATGAGTGAACATAAGTTTGTTTTGATCTTTTTTGGTTTAGGGTTTGGTAATTATGTTATAGTATTATATGTGTGTTTTAAGGTTAGATTGTGGAATCTTAATTTTTTTAATACTAAATTTGACCTATAGTTTTGTGTATAATAAACACTTTATAAGATTATTTTTAAGTTTAATAAAGTTTTTTTATGTGATTTAGTTATATATTTGATTTTAGGGTTTTGGAAGACTTAAATTTTCGAAGATATAATGCACTAAAAGACTCTGGATGACTTAACAACAATCTCCGGCTTAAAATATTAAAATAATCTAGGTTTCCCGCCTAAAGTAAGTTTTCTAGGCAAATAGTAAGTTTTCTAGGTAAATAGTAAGTCTTCTGGTTGAATAATAAGTCTTTTAGACGAATAGTAAATCTTCAAAGTACGTCTTATGGGTGAATAGTGAATTTAAGGTCTTGAAAAATTCTTCGAAGACTTTCATATAAGTCTTCTGAAATCTTCAGTATTGGAATTGGAATTTTTTGTCTTTCTATATAAATAAAAATTAATACATTTTTTGTCTTCCTCTCAAATGGAGGCAACAAAATGTAATATTTCTCACTCTAAAATTCTCTAATCTCGCTCTAAACTATTTGAATTTGATAACACCGAACATTATATCAATTTCTCATTTTATGTGTTTCTCACTATTTTATTTTGTTTTTGCAGGTTTTTCATTACATAGAAGACATCTTTCAGTCATTTAAAAGTAGATCTATAAATTTTTTATATGTATTTTTGTGTCTTTTATATATTAGATTCTAATAAGTTATAGATTCAACATATGTTGAATTTTTTCTCTGTTTTGATGTTATTTCAACGTTTCTAGATATGCAGATTTTTTCAGATCTGAGTCAGATATTGGAAAACTTTCAAAAGACATTCAGAAGACTTTCCTGAAAGTCTTCTGACATTGTCTTAAGTCTTCTGGCGTAGTTTTAAGTCATCTGACGTGGTCTTAAGTCTTCTAACGTAGTTTTCATGTATGATTTTTTCTTCATTTAGTAATCTTTTGTTGCATAAAGCTATTATCTTTTTTTCCAAACTAAAATTCTCCAGCCTCTCTTTAATCTCTTTAAACATGAAAACACCAAACTTTATATCAATTTCTTAATTTTTTCTTATGTCGTTGTTACTAATTTATCTTGTTTTTGTAGGTTTTTTCATATCTGAGTCAGTCATTGGAAAACTTACGGAAGACTTTCAAAAGACGTTCAGAAGACTTTCTTGGAAGTCTTCTGGCGTAGTCTTAAGTCTTCTGACGTAGTCTTAAGTCTTCTGACGTCCCTCATATCAAGTGGAGTCCAAGCTTGTCTTCGTGGAGGAATGATCTATAATAGTTTTGTGATTTGTATGTGTACTTTTTAGTTGAGATTTTTTTGTGTAAATTTGAAGAAATACTAATGGATAATATGGTAAATATGTTTATTGTCCAAAATTACTTGACATTATTAAAGTAAACAAGAGTAGAATAAAAGTATTGTTCTATGTTTGAAAAATCAGTAATGATGTTTCTTAAGATGTAATATGTGCTAACAATTTGTTTTCCGCTTTTACAAATCAATGAAATAAAAAGGAAAAATGATTACTAGCTACCTGAAGTATCGGCCATCACATGGCTGACCATGCAAAGAAAAAAATGTACACTCAACTACATGAAGTATATGGTATGCATAGTAACATCCATGAACTTTATGTTGTTATGTAGTTAACATCACAAGGCTAATAACAATTAATTACATCACAAGATTAATTACATTTATAACATATAAAAACATTTTAGATATGGAAAACATTTTTATATTTTAAATTTTTATTATTATGATATTTTATTTTAAAAAGTGTTATACAACAATATTAAAAATTTATTTTATTTCAGAAAAACTTTTAACTTTATTTTAATTTATATTTTTAATAGTTTGTCCTTTATTTTTCTATATGATTTGTTAGGTGAAATTCTATTTTTACCCTATTTGTTGTAGCACAATTCATTTTTCCTTCATTAAGGATATATTTTTACAATTACATTTTTCACTAAATGGAAAAAGACTTTTCTACCAATTTTTATAAACATATATAAATATAAATAACTATGTAAATAGTTAATTCATTACAAAAATATTTTTCAAAACGTTTTATATCTTTAAAATGTCTTTATAAACATTTCCAGTAAACAAATTTAAGTATTTTATTGCAAAAACTTTTGTATTAAAATATTAAAAATATTAAAAACATTTTAGTTTATTGAAAATGTTTATAAAGACATTTATAAAGAGATGTAAAAATGTTTTCAAATATACCTAATTATGTAGTTTCATTAAAAAAAACCAATACTTTTCTATCCTTACATTATAAATATAAATAATTATTTAAATCATGCATAAAAATAAATGCTAAACTAACAAAATAATAAAATATGTAAAATTAAGATAAAGTTATTTTTTTAAATAACATTAATTTTAATATTATTGTATAAAACTTTTTTTTAAAATAAAAATATTTTTAATAATAAAAAAATCAAGTAAAAAAGATTTTCCATATCTTAATTTTTTTTTTCTATTTATATTTTTTATTAATGTAATTAGTCTTGTGATATAATTAGAATAATTGATCTTGTGATGTTGCGTACATAACAGCATAAAGTTCATGGATGTTAGTATGCATATCATATACCTCGTGTAGTTGAGTGTGCATTTCTTTACTTTGCATGGTCAGCCATGTATTGGCCAATACTTCAGATAGCTGACAATCATTTTTCCAAATAAAAAACTTCATTGGCTTTCAAATTCAAAACATGATGTTCATTGTGTAGTTCTTCTTATCTTTGGATCTCCAATACTCTGCAAAAATATAAGTTTGTAACTATAGACAACTTCTTCGCATTAACTTATAATAGTTGTTCATCACTTTTAACTTCTGAGAAGTAAAACCAACAAAGTCATTTAAGGGGTAAACCAATAAATTTTGTAATTCTACAGAGTTAAGATATAATGAGTAAGTTAACTCTTCCAACTTCATTTTCATGTACACGTTATAATCTTTTTGAAATTATTTAACACTTTTGAAAGTTAAAAAACTTATCCTAAATTACTTAACATCCTTAAAATTACAAGTTTACAAAAACTAATGTGGAAGACTTCCACGGAAGACTTCTGCGAGAAGACATTAAAAACATTAAAACATGAATATTAATAACTTCATAATTATCACCAATTAAGCTATGAATTTCATTCAGGACCCCAAATATTATCTAAAACACATGAATTAAAAAATAAAATCTTAAGAATTCATTTTAA